ATGAAAGCTCTCTTGAACTACTGTTACTAATATATATATCTACAACCATTTGGTCAGTGAATAGTTCGAAGCCTTTTTGAGTCGAGTCAGTAAATCACGTGGCCGAAAGCTCGCTACACGGCTCAATTAGAAAGCCCAGGGGACTACACATTGCACGGCCAATATAAATTATACATATGGTCAGTGAATAGTTCGAAGCCTAGTTGAGTCGAGCCAGTAAACCACTTGACCGAACACTCACTACAAGGCTCAATTAGAAAGCCCAGGGGACTACACATTGCACGACCACCATAATCTCGTTCCTTTTAATTGCTCTATTTTTCATGAAAAAAAAGCTACCATTTGACGTGTGTGTACGCTACCTAATAAGAGCATCTTTGTGTTTGACTTGGGATTATTAAGTTTATTGGTTGCATTGGCAGTCGGATTTTTGGGGATTGCGCTTATCGTGAATGTGAAGATAAATTCCATATGTTTTGTTTGTCCATGCAGTATCCTATTCACATATGTCTCTTCACTCATGTTTATTTCTCATGTTTACTTCTTGTCTTGCATTAGGCATTATTTAAAATAAAATAATTAAAAAAAAATGAGAGAGAGAGAGACGGGATTTTTGTTTATGTGCCGGTTAAATTTGATTTTTGTTGCAACCGGATCTATTGGGCCTACTACTCACATTTCCTCGTTTCGTATGAAGTTTGGCAAAGTTTGTAGTCTTTGTTATTTAATGTTGGATTTGATATCATTATCCTTTGATTTGCGCATTGCGATTATCGTGTGGTATTGAGTTGTGAGTTTGTGACTTTGTGTACACGTTATGTTTGGTGACTCTTCTCACTTGCGTTCAAGATTCTCTATTCGTTTGATTTTTTTGTTAAGTGTTTGAACAGATTGCTCGACACATCGAGATCATTAGTCCATGTTGATTTATCTATGCATGGTGATTGCCCAGAAAGGGGGAGAAAAGAACAGCAACGTTGGCATGAACACAGGGGGAGTTCCGAGAACTGTTGCTACAGTGCATCAGACAGTTGCTGGAACAGTACATGAATGCAGGGGGAGTTCAGACAACTGTTGAGACAGTGCATCAGACAGCTGTTGGAATAATGCAGAAATTCATGAGGAATTCATTCAGCTATTGGCACAGTTGACGAGTATTGTGAAGGGAAGTTGATTCTACTACTTCATTTTTTTTTTTTGTGGGAAGTTGATTTTGTTACTGCATATCCTTTTGTTCCCTGCTTATTTGAACCATTTTGAGTATCTGCTTTTCTAGGTTATTTTTGCTAAGAGCTCATACAGTTCGATGAACTGTTGCAACAGTTTATATTTGCAGATGTTATTTTGAATTTGCTAACCCTTGTTCATGCATGTATCATATATTTAGGGGAGTAAATGTTCTGACCAATCAATGCCAAAGGGGGAGAGTGTTAGAATCTCTGTGGGATTCTAAGTCCACAACACCAAGTGGAATTCTATGGAGATGTGTATTAATATGAGGAACATATTGAGAAGAAATAAAATTATCTCTCCATATTAATCACCTGAACGTGTATATCCAATATAGAAAGAATTTCACCTTTTTAATATTGTGTTTATTGTCATTAATTGGTTTAGGTGTTCACAAGAATATAAAAGGAGGGCGCTAATGCTGACGTTACTTGTTGAGTCTTTTATCACGTGGATGATTTACCACGTCGCCCTCCACGGCCATCCAAGTCTACCAAGCCAAGTAAGCAAAGGGGAAGAATGTAGTCATCTACAAGAGGAGTTGCCCAAGGATCATCTACAGGGGAGAAACACATGCATGGGAAGCTGACTCCATTTTGAACCACCTGCCGAAGCCACTACTGTTGGAACAGTTGTTGACACTATGGCACTTGCTATTGCAGCAGTTGATGCCACTCTTGTTGTTGGCTGTTCCTTTAATGCTGAGGATGATCCTTAGTTTTATTGTTTCTATCCTGAATTGTTTTATTTTCAGGCACTTTACTCAGGGGGAGAAAATGATAAGAATCAATCAATGACAAATGGGGAGATTGTTAGAATCTAATTGGATTCTAATAAATAAGGGATGAGTAAAGACTTGTGCAACAAGTCCTTATGTACCGTAAAACACAAAAGGGAAGTCTCCTTGTTTACTTTAATTCTTTAATTTATCATTAATTGTTTCTTTTATGCAGCAAACTATCTTATTAATTAAAAAGAGTTATTCTTAATTTAATGACTTGTGTAGAAGTCTTGTGAAAGAAGAATTCCTTCTTGCCATATATTACACACATACGTGTGATTTGTGAAAGAGAAAGAGATTTCTTTTATATATTGATTTTGTTCTTGTTTGTCCTTGATTAAGAATTATTTATTATAAGGAGTCTTTTATTAGGAATAAAAATCAAGAAGTGCTCTTACGGATCTTCATCTATTTCCATTAATTAGTATTTTATTAATTGTGGAAATTAGATTAGATAAGGAATAAATATTTAGTTTTCTATATTATGAAATTTCTTTTCCTTGTTGACCATGACTCTTTAACCTAATTGTTTTTCTTGTACAGGAAGTCAAAAACTACATATAAAAGAGAGTATAGGGCGTCTCATCTGCGTGCTTTTGTAGAAAAAAATATTTTCTCTTTTCTTTGTTGCTCTTCTGGAGTCTTTTTATCGAGAGAAAAATTCACATAGAAAATATTATTTGCTCTCGTTTTTATTTCTCCATCGTGATACGTGATTTTAATAGAAAATATATCGGCTTCAAGGCTTTGTGGTGAAGACACCAAGATTCACGGAGTATCACAAGTTTGCTTCTTCTATATAAAAAGAAGATCGGTTCTTCGGGAGAGGGGCTTAAACAGATCTCGGGAGGAGATCGATCCGCCGACTGAGGAATTCAGCGTTGAAGGGAGTTCAACCGTGCGGAGCAAGGGACGTGCTGCAAATTGAAGATTTATAATTCGGCGTAGTATACAAGAACGGCGTCAACAAAGAGGGAGTCTTTGTATTTTGACTAAGTCCTACTATTGTATTCGTAAAACTAAAAATTAGTAAATTTTATTTGCAGGTCCCCGTGGATGTAGGGTACAATTGTATCCGAACCACATTAAATTTGTGTCTCGTTTATTTCTGTTTTTACGAACTGCTTCACGAACTGTTGCATCACTTCACGCAATAGTAACGAAAAACTGAATCTGACACAAATAATTAATATCTGCACGAAATAATTCTAACAATTATTATTATTATTATTATTATTATTATTATTATTATTATTATTATTATTATTATTATTATTATTATTATTATTATTATTATTATTATTATTATTATTATTATTATTATTATTATTATTATTATTATTATTATTATTATTATTATTATTATTGTTATTATTATTATTATTATTATTATTATTATTATTATTATTATTATTATTACATCAAAGGACATACGTAATTCGGTTAAGTTTATATGTTCGTAAATACAAGTTTGACGTATAAATAACATTCATTAAAAAAAAGATATCTTGCTCCATTTATGTTCATAATTCAGCTTCTAACGCATGGATTGGTTGTGGGAACTGCAGGAGTTTCAAAAAGACTCGAGTATTAGTATTTGTAAGTCGTAAGCATGGTATTGTACAAGGAAGAAAATCGTAACATTTCAAGGAATATTTCTGGGAATGCTGCTCAAATTAATCTGAAGCACTTCATTCTAAATGAAGAAAATTGTTTTATGTATGCATTAATTGAAGATATGATGATATAATGTAATTTTGTTGGATGTAAGTTGTGCAACTTGGGATTCAAAAATAGAATACGCAAATGATTATTTGGTCCAATAAGTTTTCCTTATGCGAGAATTAGTCCTACCATGTTTCAAATATAAGGTTCCGGTCATCTAACTTACGAAAATTCTAAATTTGGTCCACCAACCTACTATTGCAGGTTGACACATCAAAATTCATGTGTATATATATTTTACGGTAAAAAAATACAAGCAATCCTCTGAACTAAAGTCAAATTATAAATAAATGTATTTATATAAAATAAAAAAAATAAAAAACTCGCCCGCTTAAAGTTTGTGTCGTCTTACATTGTACTTTCCCCTGGTCACAATATGAATTTAGACGAAATATTTTGGATATTTAAGAGGGTTTTAATTGTGATCCTATTCGATATTTAACCTTATTACTTATGTAGTAAAAGATATTTTAATTGAATACATCTCCCTCCTTTATACATTAATTTTGTACCAACCCCATCGGTCCATAACGACGCCGGCTAGTACCAACCCCATCGGTCGACTCAAAAGTACCAACATTACGTCCCAAATCGTCGCTCCATGCAACAACTGCTTCTCGCCAATCGACACTACAAAAAAAGACACTTTAAATAACGATACAATGGTAACAAACGAAGTTTTGGTTACAATAACTCATTTACTGTAACAAACTTTAAGTATTGTCGCGAAACATTCAGTTTTGGGTAACGACTGGGATTAGTTATTACAAAAAGAAATAATTCGTTACGAGAAATTCCTTTTTCGGTGACAACTTGATTACTTCGTTACAAGAGATTTACTGTTGTTACCAAAAGGTTTCTTTATGGTGACAAACAATAGTATTCGTTACCTTTAGTATCAAGTTGTCACAAAAGAAAATAATCTTTAGTGACAGCAATATTGTGCTCACAAAAGGTTCCAATTTTTAAATACTTTTGATTATAAATATAATTAATATATAATAAAAATAATATTAAGAAAATACAAGTAAAAATTTAAAAAATATATTATTTATTTATATTTTTAGTCATAACAATATATATATATATATATATATATATATATATATATATATATATATATATATATATATATATATATATATATATATATATATATATATATATATATATATATATATATATATATATATATATATATATATATATATATATATATATATATCATTAAAAGATTAATTTAAATTTAAAAAGCTTTATATACTACGTTATTTTATTAATTTTTTATTTTATTAATATATTTTTTTTTTAATGTTTGATTTTTTTGCTGAAAATATATCTGATGCATGTTAAAAACATCAATTATTTTAATAAGTACCGTAGTGGTAGAAACACCTTTAGTTAAATAAATGTAACTTTAGGTTAAAATTTGGACTAAAAGAGTCCCAAAATTCTGGGCGGCAAAATTAGCGCCTCTTCTTTATACTTCTCTGGATTATTCGAGCGGAGAAGACAAAGAATCAAATGAACAGACAAAGACGAAGATAGGGTTTTCAATTTTCACCACCGTCACAGATTCGTCACTCTTCCTACCGCCACCGCACACCTCGCGAGTTCACTTGATTTTTCTAGCAAAGGCGGCTGAGCCAATAGAGAGCGACAATTCAAGGTACATAAATCCTGAGTATTTCGCAGTGATGATATGGGATGAAGTTTAAGTCCTATCTTGATTTTTTTGTCCACTGGATTAACTTTTTTTGGAATAACATCTAATTTACATATGATTGTAGTTTAATGGTACAAATGCACTAAGATTATATAGTGCTTGAATCCTACTGACTATTACAACTTATAATTCATATTACGATTGCCAAAGGGGTCGAAATAGTTATTGAAGAATTGGAAACCCTTTCTCATATGAGGTATATAAATCAATTTCATGAAATCCTTTAGTTTTATTTTCCCTGGTGGTGGCTTCATTTTTTAATTGTTAAAAGTTGAGAATAAATTGTACATGTTTGAAACATTAAATAAATTCTTCACATATACAGATTCTTTGAGACTTTTACTAACAGAACCTGAGAGAGAATTTAAATTAATTGCGTGGAACCATTTCTAAAATTTTCAAGCGCGAATTGTGTTTTACGTATTATTCTTTATTTGCTAACTTAATTGATTATTTAATTGTGCAGTTAAATGCCACCTAATAATATAATACCGCGTCGCATTTTAACTAGGAGGAGTAAAGATGCAAATGTAGAAGCATCTTCAGTCGCCCAAGAACTTCCATTTGTGTCGGCAAATTCACGATCTGAAATCCCGTCATCTCGTGTGCCAACTTCATCTACGTCTCCCCATCTTCATGAGGATACACAAGGATACGAAAGTGAAAGTTCTTTATCAATCCCTGAAAACTCAACTGGTAATTTAATGCATTTTTCTAATAATACTTAACTTTATTATCTATTTATTAGATATTTGTATTTCTATGAATAAGTATCAGTTTCCACAAAGAAAAGAGGCCGCGGAGCAACTACAGGAAAATCAATAGAGAAAGCAATTACTGAAAATGTTAGTGTCTATTGTTTGATATACATTTCTCTTTTTTGTTACATGTACCTAATTATAATTATATATATTCTTTTATCTGTGATTAGAAAGGACAATTATTAGAAATTGAGTTTTCTGAAGGTTTTAAAAAGCCACGTCAATTTGCTAATCACTTAGCAACTGGAATTGGAGTTGTGGTTAGGTACAGTCCTGAACTTGATTGTATGAGTAACTGGAGTGACCTTGCAGAACACGAAAAGCTACCTATTTATGCTGGATTAGATGTAAGTATAATGGTTTTCTACATTTGTACTTTGTCATAGATATGAAATAAATTTCTTTATTTTGATAGTTACTCTTGTCCACCAATTTTAGACATGGTTTAATATTAAAGGATGGGGAAATAATCCAGTAGTTCAAAGTTATATCGAGGAGATGTTCCAAAAAAGTTATACGCATTGGAAAGGTCGATTGTCAGGAGCTTATAAACGTATGATTGAAGAAGAAAAAGATCCCAAGGCTTGTAGTCCGTTTGATTGGATAGAACTTCGAAAATGGCGTACTTTGTGTGATTACTATGAAACTGAAAATTTCAAGGTATTATTACAATTGGTTTGATATATAAATATCATTTTGTAAATTGTGTTAAAACTTTTAGTAAGATTTTAACTTTTACTTTTTCATATGGAAATGCAGAAAAGGTCTAAAGCTAATGAAAGTAATAGGAAACTTCTACCGTATACTCATACTTCAGGTTCAAAATCATTTCATACACGGCTATTGCAAATGGTAATATATTGATTGATTTTGATTGATATTTGTTTAGTTTGGTAATGTTGGTTCTTATATTTTATTTTTCTAATTTGAAAGGAAAATCAAAGCTACGTGGATAATTTTGCCATGACTCATAAGAGAAATGGTACTTTTGTGAATGAGAAGGCTGCAAATGTACATGTATGTTGGACTGTGCACAAATGTCATTTTAATTGATACATATTTATATATCTAAACATGAATTATGGACTTGACTTTGTTAAACGCTCACAGGTTGAAATGGAAAATATGAGGAATGGACTAAATCAAAATGAAAGTATCACTTCTGAGCGGGAAATTGTAAATAAGGTACTTGGTAAACGATCTGGATATGAGAAAGGCTTGGGGTATGGAGTTGTGCCGTCTAAATGTTCGAAGAGGTCAACATGTGAATCTTCACAATTGGAGACAGTTCAAGAAAAGTTGAGTGTTAGTGAAGATGAATTGAAAGATGCTACTTGTCGTATTAAATCCCAACAAGAATTGATTCAAACGCAAGAAGCACTAATTCAAAACTATGATGACCGTTGCAAAAAGCAAGATGATGAAATACAAGGCCTAAGGGAAGGGCAAGACGAGTTGAAGCAAATGCTATTGCGTTTATTGCAACAAAATAGTTCAAGCAATCAAGACAAACTTTGTAAGTTATACATGTTTGTTGCTATCATTTTCATATTTTAATTTTATTTTATGTTAGTGTGCTGAATTTTGATAAAATACAAGTTGATTAGAACTGTGATAAAATTTGGTTCCATATTTCTTTAATTTGGTGTTGTATAATATGTTTATGTGTGATTATTTTTGGGCATATGTTTGATCTGAGCATTTTTGTCTTCTTCTTGTAATCTTTATTGATAATTAATTTGTTTGATTACTCTTATTACATGTTTGAACAGGAGATGATATGACTTAAGGAATTTTTTTCCAGAAATGTGTGCTTAAAATTTGGCTTTGGAAATAGGTATCTTCTTCCAATTTTTTTTCATACAACCTTATAGTTTTGTTTTTCTAATGTTTTTTTACTGGTTTTATGCTTAAATGTCTAATAAAATTTAAATAATGCTTATATTTGCAGGTTTTTGGTGTTAATACAACAAAGAATGGTCCAGTGTAAAGTTTTGAAAGTTAGCTTGTATTTTGATCAATCATGCATCACTAAGGATACTATTTAGAACATTTTGCTACTTCTTAATTGTTTTTGAGTCCTGATGTATCTTTGAAGCATGTATCTACAATGAAATGTTTGGTGTTTATAATCGATATAAATTTTTTAATGTTATATTATCTTACATAGTTATTTTGAATGAATATTCTTGTTGTCAGAAAATTCTCAATTCATTTTTTTATTTTACAAAAAAAATTAAAAATAATATCGGAAAAAAAAAAGTATTGGTGAGTATATCATTGTCATAAGAAGTTTTTGTAACCAAGACATTATTATATTTTAAATTTCATGAAACTGATTATTGGTAACGAATTCAGACTTTCGTAACGACTAAAAATATATAGCGAGGACCGTATTTGTTACAACTAATATGCTATTGTAACTAAATTTAATTTTGTTACTAATGTATTAGTAACGAATAATAAGAAATCGTTACCTAAACTTCTAGCGTCGAGCTTTACACGACAAAGAAAGGTAACCAATTACGTCGTTACAAAACGTTAAGGTGACGAAAAATTGACATTTGGCGACCAATTTCGTCGTTACCACAGGTGATTTTTCTTGTAGTGCGAGATCACCATCTCGCGCGTCTTGCACAGTCGCGCGCCCATCGGATCGTGCGCCATCCACCTCGCGACGCACGCCCTCCACCTCGATTCGCGCGCCTCGTGCGTCAATCCCAATTGCTTGCCCGTCGCGATGCGCGGCCCGCGCGTCAATCCCAATCGTGCGCCCGTCAGACAGTACGCCCCAACCTCGCGACGCGCGCCCTCCACCTCGATTCGCGCGCCCTGCGCTTTAATCCCATTCGTGCGCCCATCAATTCACGCATCTCGCCCATTCGCACGGCCACCCAACGGTGCCTAGAAATTTGTGATATAGTGGGATTAAAGTTTCTGGGGATTCAGGGGTAGTGCCCCTGATTTTTTTGAACAAACAAGTGAATTTATATAAAAATAAATAACCAACATAGTATAAATTTAGTAATTAGCGGCTCTATGATCAAATAAATTATAGAAATAAGTAACAATGGTTGATTTAATACCTATTTATGAATTAGAGTTTCACTTTTAAGACTTTATAATTTACTTTCAGTATCAGTATTCACTACTAACTTAGTTTTGGAAATCGAAATTTTGAATTGACGAAATCATTCCAAAATTGAAACTTTTCGGCTTAAATTCGACATAAATCGGAAATTTTGTTTTGATTTCACCTGTAATTGCAATGGTATATAGTCTTGAGTGAAATAGAATATGCATGCATGAATGGGTTAGAGGGAGTCGTAACATATATATATATATATATATACATATATATATATATATACATATATATATATATATATATATATATATATATATATATATATATATATATATATATATATATATATATATATATATATATATATATATATATATATATTGATGATGCTAAAATATAGCTCACCTAGGGTAGTGTAGAAAATGAACTGGGAGAGCAAAGCAGATCAATAGCTTGACAACTTGATGATCCTGAGGTACCTGCGAAATGAACACACGTGAACTACGCCGGGGGTTGATCCGGCGGAAACCCCTCCGACGCTCAAGTCAGACGTGCTGATCATAGAAATAGTCCAGAGAATACGTATTGTAGTATTGCTCAGTTAATAGGACGTACCTTAATAAAATGAGTAAAACCTCTATTTATATGTCGTTTATTGGGTTGAGTTTGCTTTGTTGGGCCCAAGCCTTACTTGAAGGTGTTTGGGCCTCGGTGATATTGATCTTCGATATTGGGCTCGTAGCCCAGTAGGTAAAGAAATTGTAGGCCCATTGGGCTGGCCCAATTAAGCATATCATTATATATATATACATATATATATATATATATATATATATATATATATATATATATATATACATATATATATATATATATATATATATATATATACATATATATATATATATATATATATACATATATATATATATATATATATACATATATATATATATATATATATATATATATATATATTATATATAAATTATGTGTGTGTATGTACATATTTAAATTTCCGAAATTGTAATGAATTTTTGCATTCCAATTTTTTTGAAAATGAAACCGGAACCCATTTTTTACTTCCAAAATAATTAATTTTTTTCTTCCAAAAAAGCCATTTCCGATCTTTTCCGTCCGATTTCCATCCCTAGTTCTAAAGAATCACCACGGTAGTATTAAAAAAAAAAAAATCATAGAAATTCGAAGAGGCGGACATCTTATAACTTACAACGGTCGGTACTCAACAAAAATTTCCTAATTTAAAAAGAGAGCATTAAGGCAAGAATAATTAAGGTAAGACAGAGATTCAAATTCATATTACATATCAGCAGTTATTAATTACACCACACTTTCTTTTATGGCAAGTAATTAATTAATTAATTAAATAGCGTACAAACTACAAATCACAACAACATCTTATAAAAGGGCTTCATTTTTCTCTCTCACAAGCACAATTATATTTTTCTTTCATCGCGCCGCCACCTTTCATCATTCCCCACCGCCGCTGCTGCCATGGGCCATTCCAGGCCGTATTTTCCCCACCGCCCACGGCTATGTTCTGATTCCGTATTCGCCGTACATCCCTCCGCAGCACTACTACTACTTGTCGTCCAACAATTACTACGCGACGACGATGAGGTCAACGTATCTTGTTCAAGAAGAAGACCAAACCCTGATTTTCAATGCAAGTAATATTCATCGTCATCCACGTCAGCAAGAACATGCAGATCGGACCGCCGCCGGTTTGTCCGATGATCAGATCACAAAGTGTCTAAAAATAAAGATTAATAATTCTTGTCCAGATATCGATTATAATCGAGACGGCCCGGAAGAGAGTGACGTTTGTGTGATTTGTTTCGATGATTTGTGCCAAGAAAATAATAATAATATCGCAGCTCTCGAGTGCGGGCATGAATACCACTCCGATTGTATCTGACGGTGGCTGCGCGTGAAGAACTTTTGTCCGCTGTGTAAAGCCGTCGCGTTTAACGTCGCGTTTAAGTGTTGTCCTGTACGTAGTTCATGTTAATTAATCGTGAAATGTTCGATTGGCTCGGTTTCGTTATCATATGTAAAGACGTTATATTCAATTTATTAAAAAAAAAAGTTATTTTGTGTATTTTAGGTATCATCCAATTATGTAATTCGTATGTATTCTTTTGCTGTTTTTTTATATATAACAATTAATGTAAAAGTTTATTAATTCGATTATATTACTTCCTTCTGTTTTTTTTATATAACAATTAATTTACAATTGATGTGTATTAATTCAAAGAACATCTATATATTTGATACAATATAAATAATAGTAAAGAAGATATATGTACATGATGTAACTTACTGCAAAGTTTGTAGATCATCCTATGATCAAAATGAGTTGTAATTCCATAATCGTTCCGTTAATTGCAATTAGGGTAGAAATTAATTGGATGGATCAGATCGAATATGGCCCTTTCGGAAAAAAAATTGATTTTTTTTCGGAACTGAATAATTGGTTTCGATTAAGATTTTTTTACAGGAAATTGCGGAAAATTGTATTTTTTTTGTGGAATTATTCGTTTTCGGATTTATTTTTGCGATATTTTTTGTATCTGTTTGGAATTTTTGAAATACAAACAAAAACAAAATCACATTATCATACCAGAAAATCATTTAGCACAACAATTTTACCGACAACCCTAATAATATTAGTGTTTCAATCACGAATACCACAAGAAAAAAACCTAGTATATATTACCGTGGGTGCAAAAATTGCAGTTAGAAATGAAACTCAGAGTATGAATACTTCGTAGTATTAAGCAAAATTTCTACTAGTGTCACTAGTAGAAAAATGACCTTTTACTACGATTTTTTCTGCTACGGTAAAAAGTCATTACAAAAGGTATCTCTTGTTACGGGACAATCTTGGAGTCGTAGTAAATGTTAGGATTTACTCTAGTATTTGCTACGGCCATTTACCGTAGCAAAGCTTTCGTCACGCCCGTATATGCTATGAGGGAAATTCGTAGCAAAAGCCTTTTTACTACGAATTTGATACATTTTACTACGGTTAATGGTCGTAGTAAAAATTCATTTTTCTACTAGTGCTTCCGTGTCTAATAGTAACTTTGTGCGTCGTTAGGAAAATTGTTACAACGACAACGTCTTTAAAATGAAAAATAGTTGCGGAAATGGAAGCCTCGGAGATGATTTGCTTATATTTTTTGGGAAGAGAAAGTGATTTTGGTTCTGTTTTGGTGAGGGAGAAACAGTCGGAAGTATTGAGAAGTAATGGGTGGGGAGCCGCTGTGGAGAGAAAAGCGAGTTGGAAGAACAAGTGGGGGAGCCCGACATCTGTTTTGAATATAAGGGAGGGTATTTTCGTCATAAGACATGTGGTTGGCTTTTTTTATGAACTGAAGTGGAGATACGATTGCATTTAAGTCAGGCCGTCAATCAACCTTACTTTTAATTTTCTTGCGTTTTAAAAAAATAACAAAAGGTAAAAAAAATCTAATAAGGATTCAAGAGGTATCGTGTTATAAATTACAACGGTATCCAAAATATTTTACTAATTTAAAAGGAGAGCATTACGGCAAGAATAGTGGTATAAACGAGCCAAGTAATTAACAATCTTACGCAAAAAAAAAAAAAAATCTTCCCCCTTTGTGATTATTATTCCCCCAATTCCTTCAATTATGCAAGTAATTACCCGGATTATTAACCTGAGATGCTAAATTAATCATAACCCGCTTCCGCGTGTATTACGATTTTAATTCTCTAGATTCAATTACTGTATTCCTACGGAATTAATTCTATAACACAACATTAAGCACATATCTCAATAATGCTACCTAAGAGATTAACTATATGCCTATGTCAATACAACAAATGCTCTTCTACCATAGTTCTAATTATAAATCCGATCTTCCGATTCATGCAATTAATAATAACATAAAAGCACATAAGTTGATCAAGTTCATGCACTTAATAAAACAAGTAGAAGAAATAATCCGTAGTTAAAAGTTGCATAGAATCATAGAATTGGGTTCATAAATCCCACATAGGGTTCGAAATAAAATCCTAAA